AGAACTGTGGAGGAAGAAAAGGACCAGGGATGAGAAGTGTATGGAAAGTGATCCTTTCCCCAGTGGGATCCAACTATTTCCCTTGCCAATCCAACACACTGAGACCAAGTCGTGAAATGTACCATTTTTGTTTTAACCAATATGTTTATCCTGACACTGTTCTCAGCCAAGGATCCTTTGGAGCAGGTTTCTCAGTGTAGTGTGAACATGTTGTGGGTTGGTATCCAGAATTTAAAAAAACAACAAAGGATAAGATTGAATGAGAATACTGGAAAATATCAGGTGGCAATATTTTTAGAAATTTTTGTTCTAAGTATGTGTGTATGTTCCATATTTCAATATAAACATACTTCTTTTTTTTAATTTAAAAATCCTTGTTAATGTTTGTTTATTTTTGAGAGGGGGAGAGAGAGAGAGAGAGAGAGAGAGAGACAGAGCACAAGTTGCGGAGGGGCAGAGAGAGAGGGAGACACAGACTCAGAAACAGGCTCCAGGTTCTGAGCTGTCAGTACAGAGCCCGGTGTGGGGCTCAAACCCACAAACAGTGACTCATGACCTGAGCCGAAGTTGGATACTTAACTGACTGAGCCACCCAGGTGCCCCAATATAAACATATTTTTTTTTTTTTTAATTTTAAAAATGTTTTATTATTTATTTTTGAGACACAGACAGGGCATGAACAGGGCAGGGGCGGAGAGAGAGGGAGACACAGAATCCGAAGCAAGCTCCAGTCTCTGAGCTGTCAGCACAGAGCCTGACGTGGGGCTCGAACTCACGGACCATGAGATCATGACCTGTGCTGAAGTTGGATGCTTAACCGACTGAGCCACCCAGGCGCCCCTAAACATATTTCTTAGTGTTGGTAGCAGACCAAAAAGTTTGAAAATACTCGAGAGTGTTGTTGCAGTACGATTTTTGTTTTAATAGATATTTTTTAGAGCAGTTTCAGATTCATCACAAAGTTGAGTGGAAGGTACAAGGGATTTCCCATATGCATCCTTGTAGTGGGATTTTATTTGTGATACATGGTTCACCTATCTCCACTCATTCTTTTTTTTTTTTTTTTCCCCTCCTTCATTCTGCCTGGTGACATGGTTGCATTAGCTCTTAACTTGAATGAGACTATGGGGAGTCTACACAGCCAGCCGGCCCTCGTAGGGCTAAGACATGGCAATGTCTGCTCTTGACAGAGAGGAAATGTGGGAAGAGAGACCAGGGAAGTGGCCATGGGCAGGGCAGACTGGAAGGGCATGCTGGGAGCAGGGGGAACCCCGTGGAAAGTTGATGCAGGAGTCCAGCTGTGCAGGGGTGAGCCCTGGACTAGTGTGGAAACAATTACCAGGATCAGAAAGGACTCAAAGACCCAAAAGCAGCCAGTTCGCCAGATCTGGGCTCACACCAAGGGGCAGAAGTCTCAGGAGAGAGCATGCATGCTGTGTGTTTGACCATACGGAAGAATAGTGCGTGGTTAAAGCAGGCCAGCAGGGAAATACACCTCAAAAAGCCACGTCCTCATCTCTGATAAAAACCCCAAGGGGTTTAAAAAAAAATTATTTGAGAAAAGGATTCTTAAGTAGTTATCTGTAATACTGCAAAGTTACTAAAGAGTCTTGAAAGAAGAATGGTTCCTCGACATTAGATCTGTAAACATTACGAGTCTCTTTTAGTCTGGCTGGCCCAGTTGGTCAAGCACGCAACCCGATCTCAGGGTCACGAGTTCAAGCCCCATGTGGGGCGTGGAGCCTATTTAAAAAAAAAAAAGTCTGTCATTTTAGAAAGGTAAAATCAGTAAAATGATGGGATATGGATATAGAAGTAGACACACAGACCAGCAGAACACAAAAGGGAGCCTTGGAAGAGAGGCTCATCAGGCAAGAATTTTTTTAAATTTTTTTTTAATGTTTATTTTTGACAGAGACAGAGCATGAGCGGGGGAGGGGCAGAGAGAGAGGGAGACACGGAATCCAAAGCAGGCTTCAGGCTCCGAGCTGTCAGCACAGAGCCCGACACGGGGCTCGAACTCACAGACCGCGAGATCATGACCTGAGCCGAAGTCGGAAGCTCAACCGACTGAGCCACCCAGGCGCCCCTGGGCAAGAATTTGATGTGAGACAGAGGAAGAGGCCACACGGGTCTGTGGATGAGGTGTTCTTCCGTGAACAGCATTCTTTGGGAAGAGGCATCGGTTTAAATGTGATGAATGTCATACACCAAAATAAGTTGGAAATAGATGAAAAAGATAAAATAGGAACATAATAATAAGGAAGGAAACGGGTGACTGTTTGACTCACTGTCTGGGCGGGGAAGGTTTTATCAGTATAAAAGCCATGGAGGTGGGGCGCCTGGGTGGCGCAGTCGGTTAAGCGTCCGACTTCAGCCAGGTCACGATCTCGCGGTCCGTGAGTTCGAGCCCCGCGTCGGGCTCTGGGCTGATGGCTCAGAGCCTGGAGCCTGTTTCCGATTCTGTGTCTCCCTCTCTCTCTGCCCCTGCCCCGTTCATGCTCTGTCTCTCTCTGTCCCAAAAATAAATAAACGTTGAAAAAAAAAAAAATTAAAAGCCATGGAGGAAAACCATTAGGGAAAAGATGAATAGACTTGAATACACTGCGGCGCCTGGGTGGCTCAGTCTGTTGAGCGTCCGACTTCACCTCGGGTCATGGTCTCACAGTTCACGGGTTCGAGCCCCGCGTCGGGCTCTGTGCTGTGACAGCTCGGAGCCTGGAGCCTGCTTCAGATTCTGTGCCTCCCTCTCTCTCTGCCCCGGTTGTACTTGTGCTCTGTCTCTCTCAAAAATAAATAAATGTTAGAAAAAAAAATAGACTTGAGTATACTTAAAATTAAGAAAACCCCCACAACTTACACATATACATAAATGGCCACAAACAAAATTCACGTATTGGTGAAAAACATTGTTCATGAAAATGACAGATAAATGATTATCTTTCTTTCCTTTCTTTTTCTTTCTTTCTCTTTCTTTCTTTCTTTCTTTCTTTCTTTCTTTCTTTCTTTCTTTCTTTCTGTATATTTTTGAGAGAGAGAGTGCAAGTAGGGGAGGGGCAGAGAGAGTCAGGGGACAGAGGATCTGAGTCGGGCTCCATGCTGACAGCAGAGAGCCCTACGCAGGGCTCCAGCTCACAGACTGCGAGATTGTGATCCGAGCTGAAGTCAGATGCTCAATAGACTGAGCCACCCAAGCGCCCCTAAATGAGTATTTTTCTTAACATGGTGAGAGTTAATGCAGGATAATAAGAAAAAAAAAATGACTTTCTCAATGAAAGAATGGGCAGCAGTCTTTACGAAACGTAGCTCTTAAATGTGAAAAAATTCATCCTTTAATAACAAAGGTGTTAAAATTTATAACAGTGAAAAACTATGTTTTCATTGGTTTCAAAGGCCAATATTTAAAAAAAAAAAATTTTTTTTTTAAACATTTATTTCTGAGAGACAGAGATAGACAGTGAGCAGGGGAAGGGCAGAGAGAGAGGGAGACAGAATCCGAAGTAGGCTTCAGGCTCTGAGCTGTCAGCACAGAGCCTGACATGGGGTTCGAATCCATGAACCATGGGATCATGACCTGAGCCAAAGCCGGATGCTTAACCAACTGAGCCACCCAGGCGCCCCTCAGAGAAGGCCAATATTTTAGAAATACTCAGTACTTAAGGCCCGAACACTGTCCTTTGCTTAGCCCAGCTTGTCATAGTGAGGGTGGCACAGTCCTGGAGATTGATTCGCCAGCCAGTGTCAGGAGCCTCAGTATCAATGTTCGCACCTGCTGACATGGTAATAACCCTGCAGGGAACCCAAAATGGTCAGAAATGTGGGCAAAGATGTATGAAGAAAAAGCACAGCGTTATTTATAGTAGCAAACCCACAACAAATAGCTTTGGTGTCCAGAGTAGGAAAATCCTTCAGTAAATCATGTGTTTGCTATTATGTGTTCATGCTGACATCTCTACAATAGATCATTATTCAGCTTTCAAATGATATTCATAACGGCTCCTTTAAAGACAAGAGAAAGTACCTTTGTCACTTTAAAGACCAGAGAAAGTGCCTTTGTCATCTGAGAGGGGTGTGTCCTAAGACTTTGTGAATTAAGTCAGATCTAACTCTTTAGCAGATTCCTGGGGCTCTAGCAGATAATTTGAAGGCACTGATGCAGGAATGAGAAAGGTGAATAGCTTCCTTAGGTCTACAGAAATAACGTATAAAAGTTGGAAAACATATTCTACCACCAGAATAAAAATCTTTACTATACGTATCATTTAGTGGTAGCAACCAAAAACTTAAGGTATGAGCAAAAGAAAATTTTTTTAATTTTTTTTTTTAACGTTTATTTTTGAGAGAGACAGACAGCGTGTGAGTAGGGGCAGGGCAGAGACAAAGGGAGACAGAATCCGGAACAGGCTCCAGTCTCCGAGCTGTCAGCACAGAGCCCGACACGGGGCTCGAACTCACAAACCGTGAGTCCTCCCCACCCCGCCCCCCAAAAAAGCACACATACATACACAGGTAAAGACTAAACAAAGACCAGAAGGAAATACATAATCATGGTTGCTACCTCTGGATGGTGTGATTGAGGTCGATTTGCTTTTCTTCTTTATGTTTTTCTCTCCAAATTGCTTTTAGTGCTTTAGATGTAATCAGATAAAAACAAATCGTTTTGCAAAGTAACGCCCTTACATAATATACTTGTTTTTCCTGGGCCTTAAGAAATGCACGCCGCTCGTTTATGGGGGGCAGGGGCGGTCAGCAGAGCCCTCTGTGCGCTCCGTCTGCCCTGTGAGGTTCTCGGCTCCGGAGCTGGACACTGAGCCCGGACCCCAGCACGAGTGCAGTGAGTGTCCGGTCGCCCAGGCCGGATGGTGTCTTCCTTCCTCACTCACTGACGCCTTCTTGATAAGGAGAATTCATGTTTTCCGAGGACCTTTTTCTTGACGTAGGGGTTAGAAAACAGGGCACAGCATTGATGGAACGATTTCAAATCTTCTTTCTTCTTCTAGGAGACAGGCAAGAGAATGACAAAGAGAACCTGAATTTGGAAAATCGCAGGGGCCAGGAGCCTTCCGACGTCTCCTGCCACGCCTCAGGGGAGGCGCCTTCCCAGGCCTCCTTGAGCGGCCTCTTCGGTGAGGATGCACCGAGATGCTTTGGAGAAGTGGACGGTCGCCCCGAGGCCCCGGGAGACCTGCAGGGTGAGGGGCCGGTGGGCCAACTCTCTCCTCAAGAGAGGAATTCTGGGAAACAGCATGTGGCCAGTCCCCGTCCAGAAGAACTGTCCCTGCTGTGTCTGGAGGAGAAGAGAGACGCCTCCCCGAAGGGGCAGCCGAGGGCCCCCATGGCCCAAAAACTCCCCACCTGCAGGGAGTGCGGGAAAAGCTTTTACAGGAATTCTCAGCTTGTTTTTCACCAGAGAACTCACACTGGAGAGACATACTTCCAGTGCCCCACCTGCAAAAAAGCCTTTCTGCGGAGTTCAGACTTCGTGAAGCACCAGAGAATCCACACGGGGGAGAAGCCCTGTAAATGTGGCCACTGTGGCAAAGGCTTCAGCGACTTCTCGGGACTGCGTCACCACGAGAAGATCCACACGGGAGAGAAGCCCTACAAATGTCCCATCTGCGAGAAGAGTTTTATTCAGAGGTCAAACTTTAACAGGCATCAGAGAGTGCACACAGGAGAGAAACCGTACAAGTGTCCCCGCTGCGGGAAGAGTTTCAGCTGGAGCTCGAGCCTTGATAAACATCAAAGATCCCACTTAGGAAAGAAGCCCTTTCAGTAGCCAAGCTCCCTGAGCCCATTTCTATCTCTGGGCCATTTAAAAATACTTCCTTCCATCTGGAGACATCGCATCGCTTAAAGGCCAGCCCTGTTCTCTCTGTTATTTTATGGATTCGAGAGGAGAGTCACCAGGGCACGGCTTTGGACTGGGAGGACACGTTGGCCTCTGGGTTGGATTTCGTGTGGGTTTCATTTCTTGCCTCTGCGTCGGGAGAAAGAGTGGTCTTTCTCCGTCAGCTTGTCTCTTGCGGTGGATCCCTTGGGGAAAAAGGTTCACTTGGAGATCCTGTTCTACAAGTGCCGTCTGGGGAGAGCTCAGCTGGATTGGCTGCATGGCAGCTCATGGAGGCTCATGGGAAGGGCCTGGGATCAGCGGTTTAGGAGGGGGGTTCGGGAGCAGGCCTTCTGTCACAGGAAGGGCAGCAGAGAGGGCCAGTGAGCTCACGTGTGTTCCTTGCCACACGGGTGCAAAATTAACCTCAAGTGTCTCTCGTTCTAAATAAACTTCTTAGAGTTACCCCGTATCTTTCTTTGTGTCTGAAGTGTCCCCTGTGTTCTAAGCATAACTCAAGGTGCATTTTCTCATGGAATCACCCTGAACGGTAGTTGAGCACCTGACCATCCCGTACAGACTTACCAGGTGTATCCGTCAGCGGAAGAGCGACAGGAAATCGCTAACCTGGTGCCCAGGTGTGAGAGCTGGGTTAGCACTGGGCCTTCTTTGTCTCTTCTGAGATCATCTCCCGCTTGCTCACCTGCCTCAACCTGCCCCTCTTTCTCCTGGCTATCAATTTTCCAGAGTGTTCTGTGCTTTAAAATTACCTTTATTACCCCATTTTGTCAGTAGATATTAGGAAGAAGTCATTAGTAGTGATGTAATGTCTGTTCTGTCTAGGGGTGTGACACATACATCTAACCTGCCCACTTGTCCCCTCTTCGAAGTCACACGCCCCCCCCCCCCCCCCCCCCCCCCCCCCCCCCCCCCGCCGTGTCCTGCTCTCATAGTGTGGGAGTTTCACCTTCCTTCCTTCTTCATCCTCCTCTTGCCTGCTCCGAGTTTACTGCTGCTGGTGAGGACCAGGAAGGAGGGCAGTGATCTGTAGGCACGAACCGGCAGATAGAAACTCAAGTTGGATTTCTTGGATTCCAGAGGGATTTTTAACCCCCCTTGTAGCATGAAGGTGAGGGGGAAGGCCCCTCATTAGGAAGTGCAGGAACCACAGGGCAGAAAGCAGGAAAATCATGGAGGAACCAGCGTTCGATTTTTGTATTCGGTACAGCAGAGATTTGTAGGGTGGTGGGATTTTATGTTTCAGGTTTTTTTTTTAATGTTTATTTTTGAGAGAGATTAACCAGCCCTCCAGGGGAACTCGGATGCCAGCTCAAGTTTAAGGGCCCCTGTTGTAAATCCTAATTCATCAAGGATATGTGGGCGGGGGGGGGGGGGGGGGGGGGGGGGGCCGTAATGATTCCAGAAGGAATACTGGGCCCTCCTGGACTCTTCTTAGCAAACCTTCCTATAAGAGCTCTTTAAAACAGTGGAGCTCTTTGGGATTCCAGCGAAAATGTGGCAGAGAAAAATCGAGAAAACTTTTAGGCTAAAAAGCTGCAGGCACAGGGTTTCTTCATGGGTCCCTCTGAAATGATCTGATGGATGATAGAGATACTGGGAAACAACCTATCTCATTCACGGTTGTGTTCTCAGCACATGGTAAGTGTTTAATGCATGTGTGAGTTAATAAGGGATACATGTCCTATGTATACTTCCTCTGTCCTTTAGATCACTGATCGGCAAAATGTGGCCCAGCATCTGTTTTTGTAAATACGGTTTTATTGGAGCCCAGCCACACCCATTTATTTATGTTCTGGGTTGAGTCATTGCAGCAGAGAAAAATGCCCTGCAAAGCATAGACCATTTACCGAGTGGCCCTTTCTAGAAAAAATTTGGCGATCCCTGATCCAGAGTAACTGGTCACAATGCAGCCTCTGACCCTGGGGCGATGCTGACAGCTGCTCGTCTGTGGAGTAGCTGGGAGCGGAGCCCTGGGTACTGTGCCGGGTAACTCCATCAGGGCTCAGGTGTTTGTGGTTCGTTTCTCTTGGTCTCTCCAGGATCATTTATGACTCTGCCTGCTCACAAAGCTGGGACCAGACACAGTTGAAGAATAAATCACTTTATTAGGAACGGTGCAGTGTTGTGAAATGCTTCCCCTGCTTGTTCCTGGACCCGCATTCGTCCAGCTGTCGCCGCAATTGTAGGCACATCTCTCCGGGTTCCCTACAAGAATTCTACAGAATTGTGAGTACATGTGATTTTTTTTTTTTTTTTTTTTTTTTTTAATGTTTGTTTATCTTTGAGAGAGAGAGAGAGAGACAGGACGAGCAGGGGAGGAGCAGAGAGAGGGAGAGACAGACTCCGAAGCAGACTCCGGGCTTTGAACTGTCAGCAGGGCTCGAACTCACAAACCGCGTGATCATGACCTGAGCCGAAGTCAGATGCTTAACCGACTGAGCCAGCCAGGTGCCCCAAGTACATGTGATTTCTTATCTATGCGTCTGTGTCACCCCTCCCCGCCTTGTCCCTCTGGGCAGCTTCCAGCCCAGCCTTGTGTTCTCAGTGGCTAAATCTGGAGAAGCAAAGCGACTCCAGCAAGAACCCACTTAGATGCCTTCTCCTTGGTCTTCAGGTTGAAAGTCCACACATAGGTGGGTCCCCGCTGGCAAGTCTTGTACACGGGACAAGGATAGACGCTGCGGCTGTCCTGTTTATCTGCAGGAATGGCCTTGATGAACATCACGGGCATGGGGGGTGTCAGGTCCTTCAGCTTCGCCTCCGTAATGACCCCTGCCTGGGGACAAGAACATGAAAGGAGCCACCTTAGATCAGACAGAGTGCAGCCAGCCAGCCAGCCTCCTGTCAGAAGGCCCAGCAGCTGAGACACTGGGAAGGCCTGGCTGCCTTATGAACTGTTAACCCACGATGGGACGGCAGCTGAGATGTGGGAAACCGATTTCTGCTGTTGTCTAGCCTAAATCACTTTCTGAAGGAGAGTTCTAGAAGTTGTTATGTATCATATACAGATTAATCCCTTTGTGACTTGAGCCTCTTTTTATTTCCTCATCCATTCACTTCATAAGCATATCGAGTGCAACTATTTGCCAGATGGTCATCGTGGAAGGTGCTAGGGCTTTGAAAGACGAGGAAGACACGGTTCGTGCCAGCAAATGTTTTAGATTTTAAGGGTTCGGTTATGTCTTTTTCAGCTTCATAGGGGGCCTCCTCCACCCTCTAGAGCATTTTGACTTCTTGAGCGGAGCTGTGTTCTATCTTTACTCATGTGATAGGGACCTAACTTCTGGAGCTTTCTAGGTGGGGCCTCTGTGGTTTTCTGAGATGAATCAATAGAGTGATGTGGGGCTGTTTATTTTTATTTACTATTATTTTTTTTTCCTAGTCCTGAGAAATGTTCTGAGGACCAAAAGCATTCCTGTATCAAATAAGCTTGGGAAAAGGTGCTTACCATACACTGAAGACAGGAAGTCCTAGCAGTAAAGAAAAGGGATGAAGTTTATTTAACCTGGTGCTTCCCAAACTTATATGACCACAGGACTCTTTTCTTTTCAATCTATTTATTTCCTATGGCACTAGTGTTTTATGGAACTTACTGTGGGAAATGTTGATACAGAGCGATTCACAGATACCTCGCAGTTGCCCTGGTGACTTTGATCCCCTTCTACTATGGATAGAGCTTGGCTCATTTTCCATGAAATGTTTTATTTTTAAATTTTTTTTAATGTTTACTATTTTTGAGAGAGAGAGACAGAGAGAGAGAGACAGAGAGCAAGCAGGGGAGGGGCAGAGAGAGAGGGAGACACAGAGTCTGAAGCAGGCTCCAGGCTCTGAGCCATTAGCACAGAGCCTAATGCAGGGCTTGAACTCACAGACCTTGAGATCATGACCTGAGCTGAAGTTGGATGCTTAACCGACTGAGCCACCCAGGTGCCCCTCCATGAAATGCACTTAAAGGGGAGGATGTGCCTTTTCAGTTCTGTTAGAGGCTGGTATGAGGCATGATGAGTAACAGATCTTAGGGAAACAGTAGGCACTCCCTTAACGTCAACAACTGAGTGTTTATGGCAGGGAGTGGGAGAAGGGGTAGAACCTTTCTTTTTTCCACACGTACCTCAGAACCAACCCTTTTAAAATGTACAAGTCAGTGTCTTTTAATGTACAATCATCACTTTGTAATTCCAGAACATTTTCATCATCTCTCCCCCCTCCCCCAAGAAACTAACCATGGGCAGCCACCATGAGTAGTGGGGTATTGGTGCCTCCAGTGATTATGGTTGAATTCTCTATATGAATGGCATATTTGTTTCCATCTCTTAACTTTAACCTATTTGTGTCTTTGAATCTAAAGTGTATCTCGTGTAGACAGCGTATACTTGTATCATTAAAAAAAAATCCATTCTGCCATTCTCTGCCTTTTGATTGTAGTGTTTAATTTATTTATATTTAATGTAATTACTGATAAGGTAAGGTTTACATCTGCCATTTGACTCTTTGTTTTCTATGTCTTGGGTCTTTATTGTTCCTTGGTTTCTCCATTGCTGCCTTCTTTTGTGTTAAATAGATCTATTTCAGTGTACCATTTTAATTCCCTTGTTATTTCTTTTACTATATATAAAAAATTATTTTCTTAGTGATTTCCCTAGGGATTACAATGAACTTCAGTGTATAAACATCAACTTCAATGAATACCAACTTAATTTCAGTAGTAGACAAAACTTTATTCCTCTATATGTTCCTTTCCTTCCCCTTCCTCTGCTTAAGACCTTGTGCTGTTTTCATGATACAAATTACATCTTTCTGCTTATCAGATTTAGAGTTATTGCTTCCTGCAATTGTCCGTTAAATCAGGAAGGAAATAAAAGTTACAAACAAAAATCCATTTATATTTTCTTATATATTTACAGACATAATTACCTTTGCTGGTGTTCTGTTTCTTCATGTGGACTTGAGTTACTGTCTTGTAACTCATTTCATTCTGAAGGACTCCCTTAAGTATTTTTTTTTTTTTTTTATTCGAGAGAGACAGAGTAAGCAGGGGAGAGGGGCAGAGGGAGAGAGAGAGCATCTTAAGCAGGCTCAACACTCATTGCGGAGCCTGATGTGGGGCTTGATCCCATGATCATGAGATCATGACCTGAGCCGAAATCAAAAGTCGGACCCTTTAACCAACTGAGCCACCCAGGCGCCCCTCCCTTAAGTATTTCTTATAGGTCTGGTCTGCTAGTGGTGAATTCTCTCTCTTTAAACTTGGGAATGTCTTAATTTCTCCTTCATTTTTGAAAGATAGTGTTACTGGATATGGAATTTTTGGCTGACAGTCTTTCTGTCAGCACTATGACTTCCATTCTACTGTCTTCTGACCTTCATGGTTTCTTAAATCATCTGTTCATCCAATGGAGGACCTCTTGGAAGTGATGGATTGCTTTCAGGGTTCTCTTTTCACCATATAACATATCTGCGTATGGATTTCTAAGTTTATCCTATTTAGATTTTGTTGAGATTCCTGGATGTGTAGATTAATCTTTTTTTTTTTTTTTTTTTTTTTTTTTTTTTTTTCTAATCAAATCTGGAAAGTGGCCATTATTGCTTCAAATATTCTTTCTGGCTATTTCTCTCTCTCTTCTCCTTTTGGGACCGCTACTATGTAGATGTTTGTATGCTTGAGTATTCCTCAGGTTTCTAAACTGTTCATTTATTTTGTTCTTTTTTTCTGCTTCTCAGCTTGGATAATCTCAAGTGATACATTTCCAAGTTTGGCGATTCTTGTCTACTCAAATCTTCTGTTGAATTCCTCTATTTAATTTTAATTTTTTTATTTAATTTTTATTTTATTTTTTAATGTTTATTTATTTTTGAGAGAGAAAGTACAAGTGGGAGAGGGTAGAGAGACAGAGGGAGACACAGAATCCAAAGCAGGCTCCAGGCTCCGAGCTGTCAGCACAGAGCCCCATGTGGGGCTCGAACCCACAAACTGTGAGATCATGACCCGAGCCGAAGCCGGACACTTAACCAACGGAGCCACCCAGGTGACCCGAAAACTTGAATATTTTAAATAATACATTGTGGCAACTCCAAAACTCAGGCTCCCTCCATAGAGTTTGTTGTAGTTTGTTGAATGACCTTTCTGAACTGACTCTCTATAGTCTGTCTTTGACACCTAAGGCTCCTGAAGTAGCCTGCTTAGTTAGCTTGGTGGTTAGCACATAGTTGGACAGAGGTTTCTTAGACGCCTGGATCCAGTGAGTCTCACAGGTTCTGCCCCAGGGCTCTGTGCATGTGTTGTGCATGCCTCCAGGGCTCAGCCAGGCAGTTGAAAACTCTGCCCTTAGTCTTCACTTCCTGCTTGCACAGAGCCTCAGGGTCAGCCAGAAGTGAGCTTACAGACTTTTCAGGGCTTTCTTGAGCCTGTGCACAGCCCTGCCCATGGGCATGGCCCTCTAGGTTTCCAAGGATGAGTTGGAGGTCATCTCATTCTCCAGCTTTTCCTTTTAAGCGGTAGCCTAGTTAGCCTAGTATTAGTTAGCCTAGTATTTGTTCCACTGTTTATTTTTTTAATTTTTTTTTTAATGTTTATTTCTGAGACAGAGAGAGACAGAGCACGAGTAGGGGAGGGGCAGAGAGAGAGGGAGACACAGAATCTGAAACAGGCTCCAGGCTCTGAGCTGTCAGCACAGAGACTGATGCGGGGCTCGAACTCACGAACCGCGAGATCATGAACCTGAGCGGAAGTCGGACGCTCAACCGACTGAGCTACCCAGGCGCCCCTGCTCCACTGTTATTTACTACCTCAGGCAAGCTGGAGGTTAAATAGTTGTCTTTGTTTTCAGTATATGCCTTCAGGGGGGAAAGGTGTTGCCCTGGGTGAGCTCCAACTCTGGTCAAGTAAAGCAGACTTGTAAGTGGGGTCTTCCTGGAAACCGCCACATAGGGAAAATAATGACCGTTTTCTGGGAATGGGTCTTTGAAAGTACTCCAACTCCGTTTTGCCCCCTCCAGTGGCTGGGAGGCTGCTGTGTTCACTGTGACTAGAGCACACTGGTTTTCGAGGCCACCACAGAGTTGGTGGGGATGGGGATGGGAAAAGGTCAAGTTAAAAGGCCACAAAGCTTATTCTCTTACTGAGCTTTGGACATTTTTCTTCACTAAATACTCCTCGGGTTGCTGAAAGCCTTTAGTTGATTTCTAGAGTCCTGTGCAAAAGTTAAGCTCTGATAATGTGGGGCCAGTGTTATTTCATGGAGGAGAGGATATTTGGACATTCTTATTCTTATGTTTTTGCTGACATCTTTTTGGGGGTAGAAACTGAGACTAAGAGTTCTTGGTGGGCGGGTATTGCTTTTTGGGAAGTTGTTATTAGTATTATTTATAAAAAAATTTTTTTTAATGTTTATTTATTTTTGAGAGAGAGGGTGAGGGGTGGGGGCAGAGAGAGAGGGAGACACAGGGTCTGAAGCAGCTCCGGGCTCTGAGCTGTCAGCCCAGAGCCCGATGTGGGGCTCGAACTCATGAACCACAAGATCATGACCTGAGCCGAAGC